TTTAGACAAGACAGGTTGGGGGTTCAGTGGTGCCTCTCTCCCTGACCTATTATAACAAAACTACCCAATCTCAAAACTTACTATAAAACAATACTAATCAAGTCAGTGTGATGTGTATAAAGAATATACAAATAGATCAGTAAAACAAAGTAGAGAATCCAAAAATAGACCCACATATAGTCAATTGATCTTTTACAAGAACACAGTAGTAATTCAATGTGGAAATTGTAGTCTTTTTAATAAATGATGTTAAAAAGAAGGGCCCTTCCTGGTGGTGCAGCAGGGTAAAGCACAACACTAAGAAGCTAAAGCCACTTCAGCATAAATTCAATCTCCACCCGGTAGGTGATCCACAAGGCACAGCAGACCAATCCTGATCCGCCCACTGCTCCCCTCAGTGGTGTTCTTTGTCATTCGGCCTGTTGTGCTCCCCACTCTGTCTCTGGTAAATCCTCTTACCTCCTTGTACCTCTGGCCTGCATCCCAGTGCTGTGTGCATAAATAAATAAATCTTTAAAAAAAACTGAACAACCACCTGCAAAAAAATACCATGATATAATTTACATTCTACACAAAAATTAATTTAAAATGTACTATAGATCTAGGGCTTCCCTGGTGGTTCAAGGGGTTAAGTCTCAGCACTATGCAGCTATCATCAGCCACTGCAATAGGAGTTTGATTTTCAGCCAGGGAGGTGACCCACGTGGTACAACAGACCTATGCTGCCTTTCCCAATGCTCCCCTCAGCAGTTTATTTCAGTAGATCTGCCTGTTCTGTTCCCCACTCTGTCTCTGGTGAATCCTCTTGCCGTCCCTGCATGTCTAGCCTGTACCCCAGTTCTGTATGCACAAATAAATATCTTTTTAAAAATTATATATATAACTTATATATATATATAAAGATTTATGTGTGCATACAAGTGCTGGGGTACAGGCTAGACATTCAGGGAGTGAGAGGATTCACCATAGACAGTGTGGGAAACAGAACAGGCAAGTTTTCAAAGTACACTGCTGAGGGGAGCAGCGGGTCAGGAGATGTCTGCCGTGCCATGCAGTCACCACCAGGGAGGGTCCCATAAATCTTTTTTTTTTTTAATGTATTATAGACCTGAATATAAAATACAAAACTAAAGCTCCTAGATATAACATAGGAAAAAATCTAAGTGATCTTTGGTTTGGTGGTGACTTCTTAAATACTACATCAAATGCATGATCCATAATCAAAAAAAAAAATTACAAATGGAACTTGGTAAAGTTAACAACTTCTGCTCTGCAAAAGACATTCTTTTTTTGTTTGTTTTGTTTTGTAACAGTTTATTTTTACATCATTTTGTACATTTTTTCCATCTCAATTGTAATCCCCACGTGTTTCCCATCGCCAAGTCACCCGTGTGCCATCACCATAATCCCGTGCACTTCCCTTCCCACCCCCACCCCGTTTTTGATCCTACTCCCCACTCCACCCCCATAAAAGTCTGTGGTATATGGTTGTTCATTATTCTTGTTATTTTCTCGCCTTGTCCATCGGTATTTTTCTTTCTCTTTCTGGCTTATCTCAGTAAGCATGATCTTTTCCAGCTCCATCCAAGTTGCTGCAAAAGACATGTGTTTCTCTTTTTTGGTTGCTGAGTAATATTCCATTGTATATTGTATATATGTACAACATCTGCACAAGACATTCTTAAGAGAACAAAAGTCAAGCCACAAACTGGAGGAAAATCCTTGTAAAACACATTCAGATAAAGAACTCTTATCCAAAATGTACAAAAAACTCATGAAACTCAGCAATAAGAGAATAACCCAGTTCAAAATGGCAAAATATATAAATGGACACTTCACCAAAGAATATATACAGATTGATATATTAGCATATAAATCAGTTCAATGGAGGAAGTCTTTCCAAAAGATGGTTCTGGGATAATTGCATACCTATAGCAAAAAATGAATGAACTTGAACCTATGTAATATATGGACCCAAAGTGGATCAGAATTTAAAATGTAAAATAAAACTATAGAACTTATAAAATATAGCAGGGAAATTTTTTCAGGATTGTAGTGCTTCGTCTAGAATTCCTGGAAGTGGGAGTAAAAGCACACTCCATGAAGCAAACAAAAACAGTCACTCGGACTACTTTAAAGTTAAAAGAAAAAGAACAACACTATTTTACTGTGAAAGACAAAAATCTAGGGCACTGAAAATGCAATCTACACACTAACAGAACATATTTCCAAACCTTACATCTGACAAAGAACTCTTATCTGCTACAGACTGGGAGAAAATATTTGCAAAACCATATATCTGGCAAAACCTCTTATCTAGACCACGTAAAGAACTCTCCAAAGAATATTTGTAAAAGGCAACTTAATTTTAAAATATACAAATGAGGGCTCTCCCTGGTGGTGCAGCAGGTTAAAGCATGACAGTATGAAGTTAGACAGCTGCTTCATGAGTTCAGTACCCGGCCAGGGAGGTGACCCACGTGGCACAGCACTTTTCTTTCCTGTCTCACCCGCTCCTCCCCTCAGCAGTGTACTTCATCAGTCTACCTGTTCTGCTTTCCATTATCTCTGGTGAATTCTCTCACTGCCCCTGCACCCAGTTCTTTATGCATAAATAACTAAATATTTTTAAATAAATGGGCAAAAGATAGACATTTCACTGAAGAAGAGATACAGATAGCAAATAGACAAATGAGGAGATGTTCAACAATTCTAGTCACTGGGGAATCAAATTAAGAATTTGGTCTATGGCCCTCCCTGGTGGTGCAGCGGGTTAAAGCACAGCACTGAGAAGCTTAAGCCAGTTCCGCATGAGTTCGATTCCCGCCTGCCCCGGAGGTGACCACATGGCATGGCAGACCTCTCCTGACCCGCCTGCTGCTCCCCTCAGCAGTATACTTCGTAGATCTGCCTGTTCTGCTCCCCACTCTGTCTCTGGTGAAGCCTCTCGCCGCCCTGAGCCTCTGGCCTGTACCCCAGTTCTGTATGCACAAATAAATAAATCTTTAAAAAAAAAAAAGAATTTGGTCTATACCTCCATGCATCAATAAAAACAGCTACAAAAAATAAATTACTGACAATACCAAATGCTGGCAAGTATGCCAAGAAACTGGATTTTTCTTATGTTGCTGATAGGAAAGTAAATGGTGCAACTCTGGAACCATTTGACATTTTCTTATAAAACTAAACATGTAATTATCATAACACCCAGGTATTGCATTCTTGAGCATCTTTCCTAAAAGGTGAAAAGTTGTATCTGCATAAAAACCTGTACATGGGCCCTCCCTGGTGGCACAAAGGGTAAGGACACAGTATTGCAGGCTCGCTACAGCAGCTTCAGTGAGAGTTCCATCTGCTGCCCCTGAGGTGATCCATGTGGCAAGGCAGACCGCTCCTGACCTGCCTGCTGCTCCCCTTAGCAGTGTACTTCATCGATCTGCCTGTTCTGCTCCCCACTCTGTCTCTGGTGATGCCCCTCACAATCCTGCACCTCTGGCCTGTACCATATTTCTGTATGCATAAAAATAAATCTTAAAAAAACTGTACATATCTTTACACAAAAGCTTTATATCTCATACCGAACACTTGGAAACAACAGTGGCCTCCAATGAGTAAATATATATCTCAAAGAAAATAGAAAAAAATGGTACATAACTATCATGGACTATTACTTAACAATAAAAAGAAGTGGACTATTAATAAACTTAACTTGAATGACTCTCCAGGAAATTATATTGAGTGAAGAAAAATTTCAAAAAGTCAAATGTTCTATGATTTAGTTTGTATAATGATAGTTATAAAGTTGGAATAAATTAGTGGTTGCAAGAAATGGGGATGGATGGAATAATAAGAAAATGAATGGTGTGATACCGGAAAGCAGAATTGTACACTCAAAATATGCAATATTATTTCCTGTTTTGCCAATGTTCTATAATTATGTGTAAATTGGAGGAAATGGAGTAAAGGATACATCAGACCTCTCTTTGTAACTTCCTGTAGCTCTAAAATCATTTTAATATAAATATTAAAACTTTTAAACACAATAACAAAATTTAGAATACTTGAAATGCCTAAAGTTAATAGGAGGCTCATTATTACCTAAGAGCTAGAATGGAAATGGGATAAGACAGATATATCTGTATGACTGGCCCCTTTAAGAAAGAACCAATTTGTGTTATATTTGAAAGTTCTGGTAGATTATTTTCTACAGAAGAAGGAAATAAAAACCAAAAAAGTATTTTGCAGAGGTCTGCATGTTATCTGGAAATCTGCATATTTATATAAATATCATTCTGTAGATAAATATTAAAAAGTAAAAACAGGGCCCTCCTGGTGGCGTAACAGGTTAGAGCACAGCATTGCAAGCTAGCCGCAATGCCCAGTTTGATGCCCAGCCTCAGGGGTGATCCACATGGCGTGGCAGACCTCTCCTGACCCGCCTGCTGCTCCCCTCAGCAGTGTACTTCGTCCATCTGCCTGTTCTGCTCCTTGCTCTGTCTCTGGTGAATATTCTCACTAATCCTGCACCTCTGGCCCATACCCAGTTCTGTATGCACAAATAAATCTGTTAAAAAGAAGTAAAAACATTTATTTTAGTTTGAATAATAAAATTTCATTATTCTTGGTGTCTTTCTGCTTATTTTAATCATGTTTTTATATTTTAAATTCATTTTTAAATTTTTGGGTGTTAAATGTTTACTCTTCCATATGTGGGTATGTTCCACTACTCTTCATCAGACTATACATGCCATTCTACTCTGCCTCCCTCATACCTGCTACTCTCTTGCCCATGTTCCCGCTGCTAAACATTAAATTACTTCACTGTTTAAGATTTATTCTTGCTGTAACCTGTGCATGCATGTTTTCTCACTTCAAGAGCCATTCACCATGCCCAGTTACTCTCCACCAACAACCAGTTAGCATCCTTCCCCTCTGGTAATGGACAGAAAAGCTAAGATTTCTACATTTACAAAACTTCCTCTTGTATTTCTCTTATAAAGACCTGGATTGGGAATCGAAGAAGGAAATATCGATTAATGGGGATTGAAGTTCCACCTCCAAGAGGAGGCCCTGCTGACTTTTCTGATCAGCCCGAGCCTGGTTCTCTGTCTGCACTCACACCAGTAGAAGAAACTGGTCCTGAAGGAGGAGAGGATAATGAAAGAAATGATGACATATCCATCTGTTTGTCAGAAGGAAGCTCTCAAGGTATTTTCTGTGCTGCACTTTCTACTAATACCTTTTGAAAATGTAATGCATTTTCGTTTGCTTTTAAGCTCATTGCACTTCAAATCTGAAGTCTTCAAAACATTTGGTTAAACATGACAAGACATAGATTCATATATATGTTATTGTATTGCTAATAATAATTGTATATACTTAAAATTTGCAAAATAAAGTTTTACTTATATACAGTGAAATTATTACTACAATGACATCAGTTAACATATACTACTCCTCACATAATTACTTTGTGTGTTTGTGATAAGAGCACCTGAAATCTCCCTTAGCTTAGAAAATTTCCAGTATATAATTAGTATTGTTAACTGTAATGATAACTGTAGCTTCGTACCTTTTGACCAATATCTCCCCACTTACTCCACTTTCTTGAATTAGTAGCTGTCTTTCTACTTTGTGCTTCTATTCAAATGAATATATTAGTATATTTACTAATGAGTATATTAGATTCCACATATAACTGAGATCATGTCTTATTTTTCTTACTCTTTGCTGATACATTCAGTATTGTATCTTCCATGTCATCCACGTTGCCACATATTTCAGGATCTTAATCTTTTTCTTTTGATTTTTATTGTGTTATTATCATTTGGGTAGCATTGGTTCACAAGCCCAATGCTTACAACTGAGCATTGGGATTACAGTTGAGATGAAAAAATGCACAAAATGAAAAATGATGTAAAAAAAAAGAACTATACCAATTATAGATTTGTTATATCTGGTTTTATGCTGATATGTTATTTTATCACCATTTCCCCCCAAAGGCTTTGATCACAAATGGATATTGAATTTTATCAAATAATTTTTGGTATCTATTGAGATCATACGGTTTTTGTGGTCTTTTATGTTGATGAGTTACATTGTTTGATTTTTGGATGTTTAATCATTTCTTTGTCCCTGGAATAAATCTCACTTTATCATGGTGTATAATCATTTTTATGCATTTTTGGATTCATTTTGCTAAGATATTATGGAGGAGTTTTGCATGTTTTCTCAATAGGGATACTTTAATTTTTGTTTTTGTATTGTCTTTGTTTGGGATATTGTGAAGTTGGTCTCATAAATTGTGTTTAGAAGTGCTTATTCTTTCTTAATTTTTGAAAAGAATCTGAGACTGGTAGGAATTACTTTGTGTTTGAAAGTTTGGTAGAACTGCCTTGTGAAGCCATCTGGTCCTAGAATTTTGCTTGGAATTTGGAGAGCTTGGATTACTGTTTAAATTTCCTTCATTCTGGCTTGTTTAGATTTTCTATTTCTCTCTTATTCATTCATGAATGATTATATAAGTCTAAGAATCTGTCAATCTCATCTAGGTTGCTGAATTGTTTTGCATTTAATCTTGCATAGCAAAGTGACTACCTACTGAATTTCTGTAAACTTTAAATTTCTACTCTTGTTTTTGAAACTATTTATTTGCTTTCTCCTTTTTATTATTAATGTTAGCTAGAGTTTTATTTTTTTTCAAAGAAGCAGTTTTTGTTGTCAATGCATTTTCAATTGTTTTTAAAATTCTATTTTATTTATTTATGCTGTGATTTTTATTCTTCCTTTACCTCATTTTTGGAATTTTTTTTTTCTTTCTCAAGTTTCTTGATGTGAAAGACAAGGTTTTTAATTTGGGCTTTTTTTTTTTTTAAATGTGGGCCTGTATTGTTATACCCTTCACAGTACTGCTTTTGCTATGTCCCATACTTCCTGGAATACTCTATCATTGTTATCATTTGTCTCAATGTGGTATTTCAGTATTTTTTTTTCTATTCTCCATGAATCATAGTATTTCCTTGTATTCTTTTTCCTTGCAGCTCATTTCTACTTTGATTAATTGATACTTACGTTGTATCCCAGTATTTGGTCAATAATGGAGAATGATCCATGTGCACTTGACAAAAATGTGTATTCAGTTTATTGGGGTGCAGTGCCCTAAATAAGTCTATTAAATCTATGTGGTCTAGTGCTTTGTTTTGGACTGCTTTATCCTTATTTATTTTCCATCTCATTGGCGTGTCTTGGTGAGAGTGGGTTCTTGAAGTCTCTAAACACTTGTATATATCTGTGTGTGTGGATTGTATGTGTATGTATTTCCTCCAGCATCTATTTTCAGATTTGATAGTAGTTGTCTAATACATTTTGGTGTCCTTTCATTTGGTGAGCATATATTAATAAGTGTTATGACTTCCTGTTGTATTGTTCCCTTAATCATTACATGTTGTCTATTCATGTCTCTTTTTACACTTTTTACCTGGAAGCACTTTTATCTGACATAATTATGGCTATCCCTGGCCTCCTTTGGGTGCCATGTCCTTGTAGATTTGTATTTCTTCCCTTTACTTTCAGTCTACCTGCAACTTAGGTGCATTTTCTGGAGGCAGCAGCAGATTGGATTCTGTTTCCTGATGCAACTCGATACTCTCTTTTTATTGGTGAGTCCAGTCCATTGACATTTAGAATGATAATTGATACATAAAAGTACACTACTCCCATTTTGTCCATAATTTTATGATTCTATTTAATTCCCTCTTCAGTTCTTTGTACTTATTGCTCACTTCGGTTCAAATACTAAAGTAGTTTTACTACTTCTAGAGGGGGATTTGTGGTTTCAAACTCCCTAAGTTTTTGTTTATCTGAAAAGTTCTTGTTACACCTTCATATCTGAAAGAGATCTTTTTAGGATAAGGTATTCTTTTTGGAAATTTTTATCTAGCAGTATTTTGAATTTGTCACACCATTATCTTCTTGCCTGTAGTGTTTCTTCAGAGAAGTTTGATATTACTCTGAGAGTCCATTAAAAGTTATGTTTCTTCTCCATCATCAACTTTGCCAGTTTTTCTTTGTATTGGACTTGAGTATTTTACTACTATCTATCTTGTTGTAGACTGTGGATCATCCCAGCCATCTTAGTTCTCAGGATTTTTCTTGGTGCCCAAAAGTTGCAGCTGGTTAAGCTAAATGCAGAGTCAGGCAGGGAGGCTCTCACCAGGACAAAAGTCTTAGTATGAGGATATCTACTAAAAAAAAAAAAAGCAGGCAAACATTATGGCCAAATATGCATAACAAGCTAGACCATCATGACAGGAATTTAATTGTTAACATGTTAACAGGGGATAGAGGTAGAATATTTTAATCAGTAGCAATAATGGAACCACCCAAGCAACATCTCCTATTCATTATCCCCTAGCTTGTGACAGAATAGTAAGCATTCCTAATCCATATCCCCACCAAGAACTTTCCTCAAAACATTCCTCCACAGACTTGCCCAACTTCCTTGAATCTGAACCAAGATAAATGTGAGATCTGCCTTGGGGGAAGGAATTATATCTCCAGGGATGTAGCCCTTATAGGTCTCTTTCTCTCTTCTTGGACTTCTAGTTCTATTTCCTCTGTCCTTCACTGCTCCCAAGATTGCTGCCCCGCAAGCAACAGTAGGTTTAACATTGTTCATGTAGTTTGTTTTTCTTTTAACTTCCTCTATTTGTATGTTTCATCCCTCTTAAAATTTGGGAAATTTTCTTCCACTGTTTCTTTAATTTTTCATTACCCATCTCTTTCTTTGAGATGCTTATGATTCTTACATATCCTTTGATCATGGTGTCAGGTTATTCTTAAAAGCGTTCTTCATTTTTTTTCCATTTGTATTTTCTGTGCCCGGACCAGCACAGCAGGAGCAGGAGACAAGTTTCAGGGATGGCAATTCTGGCGCAGGGTGGACAGGGACGAGGTTGAGTGACAGACAGACGCGACTTCTAGGAGTGCATATCTGAATGTCATTTATTTTCAAGAGTGCAGAGCATTTATACAATTTTTCTTGGCAAGCAAATATAGGGGTACAATGATTCTTTCAATAGAAGCATGAGAGATAATACTTTTTTTTATTGTTTCTGAGATGTGGTCAGGGGCCTGAGACCAACCTGGGGCCCTGAGAAACCATTGTGTATTCAAGGTTCAGTGGTGCTAAACAAATGCCCTATCTATCACTTTTGCCATGCTAAGCCTTTTTATTGCTCTCTCCATTCTTACAGGAGTTAATAGAATTAAAGATGTAGCAGTTTCTCAGAATTAAATCAGTATCGAGAACAGAGGAAGCTACATTCCTTTCAAGAGTATCATTAGAATGAAGCACAGTGCTCATAACATTTCTTTGGTTCAGTACGTTGTGTGTCAGTAGAAGCAGGAAACAAATCAAAAGTTACAGTGACCATTCAAGAATCAGCCATTCTTTTAATCCTGGAGGGCCACGTATTCCTCCCGTGTGCCTGGTACCTTGACCATGCCAAGCTCTAAAGGATTTCTCACTTAGGCGCCACGGGAGGGGACGTGGCATTTCTGTATTTGGATTCATTCTGCATTTACATCTTCAATCTTATTAATTCATTCTTCTACTTGTTTTATTCTACTCCTTGGTTTTTCCAGTGTTTTCCATCTCACCATTGATTTTTCTACTTTTTACATTTCTATTATCTTAGATTTTCAATTTTAATTGACTTTTGTATTTAATAAATTAGTTTTCCCACATATCTCTAAACATTTTCTAAGTTTCTTTCTATTGTTCCAATTCTTTGATTCTTTTAATTATGTCTCTTGAGCTCTGTATCCCATAGGAAGAAAACCTCTACAATTTCTTTGTGACATGGTTCTAGAGATTTGTTTTTTCTCTGTGGTATATTATCTGTCCGCAGACTTGTATAGCCATTTAGATTAGGCTTTCTCACCATCATTTGCTTAACGTTTGTTCTGATATAATTGGGTCTTTTGTTGAGTGAGAGTTCTCCTCTTTCACTGTTTTGGTAATTTATTAGCTGGCAGGTATGGCTGATGGGGCCTTTCAAAGAGCCAAAACTGTCTTGACAAAGGAGAAAATAAAATAAATGGTAGTAACACAGTCTAAAACTTCAAACTATGTTACAAGTCTATAGTAATCAAATGTTATGGTATTAAAAAATAAACAGACACACTAGCCAGTATAATAGAATTGA